TGAAAATGGTTGGTGGTGTGATGGTGCCATGGTTTATTTTCCTGCCAAGTTTCTATCCAAGTTCATTATTCAAATTGTAAACTTTAAAAAGAGACATATCATTCTTGGGGCATTGGTTGTCTTTTCATTTCAGATTCTTTGTATTGGGACTGCAGGCTGGTCACAAAGTACAGTCCAACATTATTTTACCTATGATGGTTTCCCATATTACCCAATGTAATTGCTAAGGGAGAAAAACTGGTCTGGAAAGAAAGATGTAGGACCTCTCTAGATTTCTTTCTAGAAACATGTCATGTGTTTTAAACAGAACTCGATTGCAATAATCCAAAGAATATAATGAAAGCTTTCCCACAAGCTCAAGGGAAGAGACTGGGAAAAGTTGCCTGGAAGGTCTCCTGCATTCAGTCCAAATTCCATTTTGAAGCCTTTTATATCCAAGGTGGAAATACTTGGTCATTCCGTGATGTCTCCTTAAGGGTTAAACTTTCAGGTCATCTTTCTCGTATTTAGTAATTCTTTTCCTTTTGTGGTTCACTTACAGTTATTGCTCCTATAAAAGCTTTGTACTAAAAATTAATAAGAGTTTTTCAATCTGCTCATGCACTTAGGCATCAAGGCCTCCCAACTCCAAAGTCACCAGCACACAGACTGTTGCATAATTTTAGATGTCATGGAGAGAGTCCCACTGATGAAATCCGAAAAGGCTCATGTCAGACCACTGACTGCTAAAGACATCACTACATGAAAGATCAGTGGTGTGAAACTTTAAAAACATCGATCCAAATGAATCAATCAACATTCATCCTTCCTAAGTGGGAGGTTTAAAATTATTATTGTTGCTTTTTTTTAACCCTACATAGATTTCAAGATAAATGCTGGAATGCTTTGATGACTGCTTCTATTCTTGAAACTCTGTTAATCGACTTTGTGCTGTTTCCCCCTTTTCAACATCTTCCACTTGGTGTACATTCTTTACTTTAGTACAGTGCATGACAGTGGCAATGCTTTAAATCTCAAACCGCCTAATAAAGCTGATGCTTTAGGTAGGGTAGCTTTAAGCTCTGTGAAGTGTTGATTAAAAACCTTTTCTCAGACTCAAACTGATCTTTTTGGAGATTAATAGAATATTAGATAAAAGGAAGACGAACAATTCAAGAGACTCCCACTCAGTCATTCTATACAAGGAAGGAAGGAAAGTATTCAATCTTTGAAAGGGAGTACCTCCTAGCGTCTTTTATTTTATATTATTACAGTCCCTAATAAGTAATCATAAAATCGCCATCACCATTATTCCCCCTTTGCCACCCATATTTCAAAGATGAGAATGCCTCACATTGATTTAAGGATTTTTTTTCCCACAGAATCATGGGGAAAGTTTTTGAGAATTTTTACACTTGCTGTAGTAGTAATCCTTCTTAAATGAATCAGAAGCATAGCCTCTAAGAGAAACCCATCAGTTCACAATAAAAACTATGATTTAACAAGAGTCATCATACACTTTTGAGCTGGAGCTCCAGATAATCCAGAGAAACATAAAAAACTGAAGTATTAGGACTTAATATAGTTAATGTGTCTAGTCACCCACATCCTCTCAAAGAAGTTATGTATCTTAAAAGAAGGAACAACTGTAAAATAAATGCAAGTTAATTCAGATTGGATACAGTACATCAAGGACCTAGGTACGAGAATTTGGGAGCAATTTAATCTCATCCAACTTGCTTTGGAAAACACATCTACCTATAGATGATGTGTTCTTGAAATTTTCTTGCCAAGGAGATGTTTAGCTTTAAAAACAAATTACTTAAAATGGTAGCTTTGTGAAAAATGTAAGCCAAACTGTGCTAAAGTTGAAGTCTGAATATCACATTACAGCAATAATAATAGTAACTACAAAGCTTCAAAGTTGACAAGTACTCTCCCATTATTCCTTGATAGTCCAGCTTTTAAAATTTGTACACACTTTATGAATAAAGAAACTTCTGAACAAGAATAATACACAGTTGCTTATTGGGGAAACTTTTTATTTTAAAATGATAAACAGAAGTATAAGATATATAGGAAACCCCTGTGCTTTAATTTTGCTTTTTGACATATAAACAAGAATGCAATCTGGGTTAAAGCACAAGGCAGAAATTGCAGAAAAGGACAATTATTATAAGGAGATGGTCCACCTTTTAAGAATCCATGAAGACTTTGAAAAGCTGCTTGATTAGTTACCTTCAAAAAGTGTCAAAGCTTATCAGCCTTTATATTTCAACTGAACTATTCTGAACTTTAGATTTGTCAACAACTCCTTTCCCATTCCACTTGCTCTAAAAACTAAGTATATAATTGAAATAAAATGTTCATATTCTAACTTTAAACCTCTAACCACCTAAAGACCTTTCCAAGGAAACCAGCATGGGAGATCAGAGAAGCACTGTTCACACTGGCTGCCCCTGGGCAGGCAGGCGATGGCCAACTGCTTGCTGTTACCGCAGGAAAATTGTGGTGAACAGTGTTATTACGTTTACACCAAGAGACCCACAATCAACAAGTTTAAAAAAAAACCAGTTTCCAAGGAATCTGATCAGTTTTCGCTGGTGGTCTGGAATAGTTTTCCTAGCTCCCTCTGGGTTGCCACAGCTTAGAGCTACAAGTATAAATTACATTTACACAAGTTAGGTTTGCAAATAGCTCTCTATACATAGTTAAACAAGGCCTTACAACCCAGTAGTTTTAAAGTATTAAAGGCAATTAAACAGCGATTTTGTCTGTTACAAGTAATGGATTTTAAAAAGAGGTGAGAATTGGAGAGAGGAATAGGAGTCATTTGGTTTATAAGTTTCTGTACTTCAGCTGCAAAAGCTTCACAAATTAAGCACTGCACAGGTACTGGCTTTAAATTGTCACAAAATTAGTTTTACGTGAACATTTTCATATACTGAAAACACCACACAATTTATAACACTTGGAAAAATATATTCAATCCACATCAATTCTCAGATCCTCTCGCTGGAAGATATCATCACTTTACACAGTCTCCTGTTACTTTTAAATGAGAAAGATCAGATAAAAAGGGTCAACATCACAGACCAATATGCTTGACACTGTTGGGCTTACACATTTTAAACCACCTAAAAACTGGGTAAAATGCCATTTTGACTTTTCCTTTTATGTTATTTTTTGCTTAAGTAACATCAAAAGATATACAGACATGACCACTGAAAATATCACTTTAATCTGCCATCATTCAAACTACTGAACTCATGAATGAACATATAAGATATTATCATTTTTAAAACTTGCTTAAGTCGGTTAGTAATATAAAAACGTTTATCTGTGAGGTGACTGACTGTAGGTTATTTCTCTGAGGCGTAAGAGAATTCTAAGTCATTTTGGGTACATGTTATCATGTCCTCAAATAAGGCAGGCATATCAGTTGTTGCATACACTTTTAAAAAGGATGAAAAATATTAAATTCAGAACCTCATCTATTAGAAACAATCTTCACACGATAATTAAATTCTTCAAGTAATTAAAAACTGATAATGTCAAGTTTAATACTTAAATTTGAAAGTCAGCAAAATCTTGACTTATTTTATCACTTGTATTTCACAGTGTTTGCCAGATCAGAGCTGGATTAAAATACTCAGCTGTTGAATCTGTAGGACAAAAAGCCTTACACAGAAGTGGAGTACTAAAAAATACACCATTGCACTTGGGTATGAACATCTATCCCACCAAGTCTCTCTTTTCCCCTTGGAGAATAAAACTGAAAGAATCATTTTTGCCCTACTTAGTCTTCCAGAAGGAAAAGGCTCCAGAGTACAGTTTCATTTTCCTGATGTCAGTAAAAAAATTCTATCCCTGAAAGGGTTCATAGTAGGTCATTCTTCGGATTAACAACAGCCACAACCATACCCACCCAAACCCTTCCCCACAGTAACATTTAAAAAGTAAAACTAAAGTGTGCTATCTAAATTGCAGTGCCACTCAATGCACAGCACATATTTAAAAAACAAAGTCAATTCTAATCATTTAGTTGGAAATTCCATTGAAAGTAGGACCTTTCACACCTATCCTTAAAAGATCTGCTCATTATGTCTGGATTCAGACAGTGTCTTCTGAAATGAGAGACTTGCAGACAGCCTCACACTCAACTGGCAAAGATTTTCAGCAGTAATGCAGATTCGGTATTTTGTAAGACTTTTATGCAAAGTTTTTCTTCTGGTCTCGAAATGAAAATAGATCGTTAGGGAGAGAACAATTTGCACTCCCGAAAGTATTCCATAGTGCATGGTGGCATTCATGTTGTGAATTTAAATTTGGTATTTCCTGGGGCGGGGGTAGAGAGAAAGAGAGAGAGAGAGATGGACAGAGAGACACAGAAAGTCAGAGAGGGAGAAGGAGGAGGAACGGGGAGCAAAGGGAGGGAGGAAGGGTGGAGGAGACAGAGTGAGGGGTAGAGAGAGAGACAGAGACAGAGACAAAGAGAGACACAGAAAGACAGAGAGACAGACAGAGAGAGAGAGAGAGACAGAGAGACAGAGAGAGAGAGAGCGAGAGAGAGCGCGAGAGCGCGACAGGGAGACAAAGACAGAGAGACAAGCGGCATCTAAGATACCTTCGGGGACCAGGGAAGCCCTAGTTCGCGCGTGTCTGGCCGTGCAGGCGGGCGCCAGGCCCCGGCCCGGCCCGGCCCTGTAGTCAGCTCCGTTGCTCGCGGCCGGGACGCGCGGCCGCCGCAGCCTTATTGCTTTGACAGTTGCACTCATCTAGAAATAATGCAAAACGCTACCCAGACGTGTATATGGCGACCCCGCGCTCTGAGAGGAAAGCAAGCTAATGAGGCGGCGCTGGGGTCCCGCCGGCCGGCGCTCACAGCTCCTCGGGCTGCGTCCGCTGCGAGCGGCGCGTGGCTGCCGGCTTCGCCGCGCTGCTCCTGGCCTCCGCGGCCTCGGCAAAGAATTTGAAAATAGACGGGAAGCTCTTCCAGGAGGTCAGCTCGTGGCGGTCGGTGCCTGCGGGGAGAGACACAGAGCGGGTTACCAAGCGGCGTCGCCGGCCGGCCCGCGCCCCTCGGACTGCAGGGCCACAGGCGGCCGCCGGCCGCGGCGCCACCCCGGGGCCCAGGCCGCTCCGGCGAGTCCCCAGCCCGGGGCGCGGCCGCGCGTGCCCCGTAGGTCGCTGAGCGCGGCCGGGTCCCCGTGGGCCAATGGGGGAGCGCGGGCGGGCCCCGCCCCCCGCTACCCTACCCACTCCCGAGGCGCGCGCGGGATTGGCTTCCCCAGAGCGTCCACGCCCACCCGCGAGCACCCAGCGGCGGGCTCCCCGAGGGGGTTGGGAGTCTGCCTTCACCCAGCAGCTGTGATGCTGGGCACCGCGCCTCAGCGAGGTCGCAGGTCGCGGGGACCACATAGTACGGGATGCTAGAGAAGGACCTGCGTAGAAGAGAGGCAGGTGCTTGCAACATCCTCGAAGGCGACTTTTTTTTTTTTTTTTAACTGTTTTTTGCGGGGGGGAGGGGGCAGATTTAGAGACGCTAAGAAAAATACTTTCAACGCAGTAACTACTAAAAGAGCATTTAGGCCTCCTACTGTGACAGGAGGAATTCCACTTTTAAAAACTCAAGTTAGCTGTCAGTTTACACAGGGCTACTTTATTTTACTGAAGCTGCTTTTATGGCTTTGATTTAATATTAATGTATACTGCTTTTTCAAATCAAGTCTACCTTTAGTGTGAGACAGGCAACGCTGGTAACAAAGATAAAGGCATGAGGATAGATGAAGAAACACATTAGCCTGTGTTTGATTACTTATGCTAGCTTTTATCATTTCACCAGTAGCTTCATAACTGAATTTTTAAAGTTCAGAAATAAAAATAATTACAAAGACTCTTATGTAGGTATAATGAACAAATAGCCAGCCTTGAAACAGTTGTAATATCTTCCTATGTCACTCAATTATGCAGAGATATTGCTTAGAAGTCTCTGAATTCAGGGCCTCTGTCTGATACTTTAACACTGTTAATGGTAATTCTCTAGTCTGTAATAGTAGGTCATTGCTATGGTTACTCTACAATGGTGCAACACTTTGCTTTCCCCTTCAGCTATTCGCTGAGACCTGGTAACCACATTTGTTGCCTAGCAACAGTTTTGTGACAGTATCACAATCTGGGAGTTACAACAATAAGGATGCTACGGCTGCGGTCGGTGGGCCAGAGAGCAGAAAGCTACAGTCTGTGCATGTGACTCATCGGTGGGCGATGGCCCTACCAGAGGTCCCCACCCCTCAGAGGTGCCGCATCCTCCTCTCCTCTGGCCTCAGGAGTATGCACTTGGAACTCAGATCCAGTACTGAAGTCACACCCTGGAGAAACACCCCCAATACTACTGTACTCAGGTTAAAAAGAAGGCCACTTCTCTATTTGCTTATTTCAGGCGAAATTCGAATTATTTGAAGGAAGGGAAGGGTGTATGTAGGTTTACCTTGGTAGAGCTAAAATGCCTGTTTTCCCACAATTTATGGTAGAATTCTGGACAAGAATTCGATCAATCAATCACTCTATATATCTCCATCAATGGATTATATACAGTTTCAAATTAAGACATCCACATAGGACATCCAGATATTATTATTGATTTATTGAAATGATAGTCAAGGGATTCTACTGAATTTAGAAGGATTTTACATTCCTCAAATATAAGTGAAAAGTTCTAAATACCCGCAGACCTACGCTTTAAATAAAATTCTGTAATATATCTAGAAGAAAGCTCAGTTGCTGAGATTTATGAAATATATCTGTCTGTTTTCCTGTAGTGTTTCCAGCCCTGGTTTTAGTTCAATGACAACTATTACACTGCACTTATGATATACTATTTTGAAAAGTCAATTGTATTTCTTTCTTTGAAAGGGCATTTTCTAAGAACACCCACCTCCAAAATCAGTCAGCCAAAAAGTGTTAATTGTCTCTTTTCCTCCCCATTTCTCAAGATGCCAGCCCCACTTAGCATTTCCTCCACAGTGGTCACACTTACACCTACGAGTGTTACTAAGGCTATGATCAATTTGTAAGCTTTCTCAGGGAAATCCTCTTGTAGTTCCTGCTACCCCCTGAAAACCAATTCAATCTATGAATCTAGAGGGACTTAAGAAGCCAATGGTCTAAAGCAATTTTGATTCCTTTATTTTTTCTTTCCTGGTGATAGTCTTTCTGTAAGATGAACAAATTTCCCTGGTGATGAAATTACTACAAAAGCTTTTTAGTTTTAGCTTATGATGACTCTCTGCTTGATTAGTCCTGGGCTGAAAAGATCAGAATCCCAGAGGTGAGTACCAGCGCTGACTCGCGACATGTACCCCTATGATTTAAGAGTAGAAATAATGAGACTGTGTGCATCTGTCAGAGGAAGGGAATTAGTAAGAGTCAAGTTTGTGAGCAAGGCAGGTCCTCCAGTGAACTACAGAGAAGGGTGTATGTGTGTGTGTGTATCTTTCTCTAAACAATGATAATATGAATATCTTATACACAAATATCTTTTTTATATTTTTGGAAATATGTTTTAATAATTTAAAAAATAGCATTTGGAAATTGGATAACTGCAAGTCCATTTTGGGTTGCATGTACACATTTCAATCATGTGTTGGAGATCATTTTAACAATTCAGGGATAACACCCAGTGAAAATATTTACAAATTAATATGAAAATCTACCTGTGACATTGCTCAATGAGTGGCAACTTCTCAGATCAGCTTTCTAGTACTTACAAAAAGTACATCATTTTAGGGAAGTTAAGAGTTGGGCCATTTATTCCATCAATATAGAAACATTAAGCCATTATTAAATTATGTGCTCATAAAAGGATATAAAAGGTTGAAGTTTAAATAAAAAGCATCCATTTATTAATGAATTGCAATGAGGTGGCAGGAAGAGCAAAAGCAGTCCATTTAGCACTAACCATGTTACTTACAAGTGGTAAACACAACTTAGCAGAGCGGGCAGGATCTTTCCTTTACCTCATTATCCCTATCCAAAGTTCCCCTTTGTATGGACTGTGAAATTCTCTTCATTTTTCAAATCCCCATTTTCCAGTCCAGAGGGACACACATAAAGTAGGCATAAAGTGTTCTCCCACGCTAACTGCTGGCCAGTTCTCAGGGAATATTTTGTGGATCCTTTTGGATTGGGAGGCTTATGTATTGTAGCTGGACAGTTCATTTTTTTTTATTTTAAAGAGAATGAAACAGAACACAGCAGATCAGAACAATGCAAGCAACACAGGATTTCAAAACAAGACAACAGGAAATCAATAGTGGCTACCACCATGCCTCCTGTTCTCCCCGAAATAGTTGTCCATATCTTCACACTCAAGGAATTCAAACAAAACAAAACGTATAAAACCAATCAAAGCAAAGGAATGAAAGCATTACCAACCTTCAAAGCCAGGCAGTAAGATAATCAACAGTGGCTACCATAATGTCTCTTGTTCTCTTTGGACAGTTCATTTTGAGGTGAATTTTTGGTTTCTTAATCCATAAAATTAATCTGGTGTTAGAGTAAAAGTAAAGGCTCACAGTGCTTTACCAGGAAAAGTGGCTTTGTCAGTCTCAATCAGTGGCTTGAGGGTAGTGACCTCTGGAGCTATTCTGGACACTGGTGGGAATATTTTTGGTGGCCAAGCAGTTGGAAGAGGCTATTGGCGTTGAGTGGGAGAAGGTCAAGGATGGGTGGATGCCCTGTTACTTGCATGGCAGTACAGTATGATGAACTGTTTTGTAGCCCACATGGTTTTTAGTGTTCCACAGTTATTCATGTAGTTGAAAAACCTATTTATAATTATATAGGCTTATAATTTGAAGCTGTTCTGCAAATAGACTCAAAGTACTTTTTGTGCAATTTTCATATATACTGAATTTACTAGGAGAGTGATTACTTTGTAAACTGAAGATGTTGTGTACTTTGTGTTTTTCAGATTACCAAGCAGGGTCTACCCTGTGAGAAAATGCGAAGGACAAACGTCAGCCACCACTAGGCACACCTGTGTGTCCCTGCATCTGTAGCTGTCAAATTCACGGTGATTCTGGGCACAGGACCAAGTATCTGACTACTTTTATTATGCCTTTTCATGTAGACTTGCCAGAATACTTTAAATATTGAAATACATATTCATTTTATTATGAATTACTTGTACTCTACCTGTATATATATATATATTTCCTCCTTTATATTAACTACAGTAGTACAGTGACTTAACAATCTTGCATGCAGATTACTTTACTCTGAAATTTATTTCATGATAGTAAAAGCACTGTTTAATATTTGCTTTAGTAGGAAGTATTTAGATATTCAGGGTCAGCCGAAATAAAGATGAACGATTCTGTTTTATTTCCTTAGAGACTAATTTGCTCAATAATTTGAACCTGTCTCTTTTATCTTTGTACACAGCAGAGAATACATATCTTATGTTCCTTATGTTTGTTCCACAAATACTGTTTGTCAATGGTGTTATTTACTGTGCAATAGCTGAAAGAAAGGAGATCTTTTAATTACTAACTGAATATTTGTCCTTGACTATCTCTTGTTTTAGAAAATGAACTGTAGCCAATTTCAAGGCATTAAAGGGAATACAAATGGTCAAAAGGGTTAGAAACCCTAAGTATGAAGGATGAGATTACAAATCATATGAGTAAAATCAAATTTCTAAAAAGTATTTGTTTTCCCCAAAGACTACATATTTAAGAAAACTGCCTTGTAATGGAACTGACATAGAAGGGTGTTATAGCTATACAATAGCTTTTAGAAATTAAAGAAATAGTGGTTGGAAAGGTACTGCTCGTAAAGTGCTTGAAGACCAGAACAGTGTCTCTTACATATTGCCCTTTTGACTTCCCGTCATAACCCCGTCCAGTGTTTCTCACAGGTTAGGTTTGTCCAGACAGTTCTGTATTGGATCGCAGTGCTTAGGAGTTTTTTTTTTTTTAATGGAGGCTGAAGGTACAGTAAAAATGATGCCAAAGTATGCTTTGAAGTTAGCACCCCAATTCTGATGTTAACCTTGGCAGACGTGCACTGCTCTGAAGCTGTATTCTTTTATGTAAAAGTTGTCTTAAAAGTCATATGTTAATAGACTTTTTGTTTGTTTGGGGGCTGGAGGTTTAACTTAGGGCCTTCTGCATGTTAGCGCAGGTTCTATCACTGAGAAGCTCTCCCAGTCCTGGAAGTAGAATATTAATTAATATTAATGTAAATGAAGAAGGTTATTTACCTTACTCAGGAGTCCCTTAATAGAGAGAAGAATTCTCTAAGAAAGCAAATGTTCATTCCTGAGATGGCACATGAAATGTCTGATGACTATGGTTAATGTCACACACACACACACTAGATTGATCAGAGATGAAGTGGGCTGATAAACAATAAATGGTAAACAGGAAGCAGGCTGGCAGGAGGCCTGGGGCATGACTCCCCACCCAGAGATAAAGCAGAAGAATTTCTTGGTTGGTCATTCACTATTCCAATTACTGCTACTCACTTTATTTTACATGGTCCCATACCAAAAGGTCAGGGAATAATTTCAACTATCTATGCATACTTTACATGTTAGGTTCTGTTTAGAATAGGGAATATCACTGTTTACAAAGTCATCTTTAACATCTTCTAAAAAATCTTTACTCCAGGGGGGAAAAATCCCAGCATATACTTGCTTCTCCTCACTGTGTACCCCATATCTCCGAAAGAATGCATTCCTAAAGCACAAGGTAATGAATAACCTATATAAGTTCCTATGATAAAGGAGGAAAGAAGCTAGAGAGATATGAAACACATTAATATTAACAGCATAACATGTCTATGGCACTTTCAAAATGACAAGGCTTGATTTTAAAAATTGATCTTTAACAAGAAAAAGAAGTATGGGCAATTAGGAAGTAATGAAGACCCTGTCAATATAGCTATGTTGATAATAACAGGTAAGGGAATTCTTGAGAAAATCTAATATATAAAAATCAGAAGGTCTGTAATATGCATTATTGAATCCCAGTGGGGTTAACTAATGAATTTATGGGCTCACCAGCAGTTATTTTTAGAAAGTTATAGAGTAGAGAAATATCAGAGCACTGAAAAATAATGTGCCTTCTAAAAAAAATACACATATAACTACTGAATTTTATTTGAAAGTGAGTTCCAGAATTTCTATGGGTACTATAATATTAAGAAATACAAACTTAACAATACTTGAACAGAGGAGGGCTCCTGACAGAGCCCCTGTACATCAGCAGGAGCCACCCCAGAGGTAGTGAATGGGGGGCGGTGTCCTTGAGTCTGTGAAGGGAGAGCCAGGTAGCACTGCCTGGCCAACCTACCTGGGGCACAGCCAAGCCCGGCCATCACCGACACAGCTGCAAGCCCCTTACAGCTGCCACAGAGTCACAACCCTAAAGCTACTGATGTCGCCTCCAAGAGGAGAGAAAGAGAGGCTAAAATCAAAGCTTGAAATCAGAGGCGGAAACTTCAGATCATCTGCAGCTTCTTGGGAAGCCTGTCTTTGGTTTTGCCACTTTTCTGCCAAGTATCTGTCATCTCTGGTGGGAGACAGGCGGGCAGGAAGTGCCACAGTGTAGTTTAGACCCAAAGAGGTAACACTGGGAAGTAAATTTATGCATGAGGTGGAGGGGACAGCTCTTAGTGGCTGGGAGTCTCTCACCCTAAACGCTGTTGCAAACCTTTGACTCTTAATTCACCTGTTGCCAATCAATTAAAAAAAAACAGGATGCATTTTTATTATTCCAAATGTCCACTGAATGCAGATAGCTAGTGTAGATGTGCTTTCTCTTCTTGTTTTTATTTTCGGTAGTGGGAATGGAACTCAGGACCTCATGCCTGACCGCCAGGCGCTGTGCTACTGAGCTTTATGCCAGCCCACTTTCCCTGCTTTTAACTCCTGTTTCACTTTCTGCTTTCAGGGTTGCCACTAGGGACACATTCTGCTTCCCTCTGAAACTTGAGCCGAAGTGTGGGCAAAAGCCCTCCTTTTCCAGTTCCCTCTATCATTTTCTTCTGGTATTTTACTCGACTTTAATATTATTTAAGCATGAACTTTTTTGCATGTATGTGCAGCTTACAAGTCATACCGTAAAACACTATAGTATAGTTACTAGAGTTAAGCAAATTAATATATCTCACTGTCACTTTTATAATGTGATGAGAGCTAAATCTAGTTATGAATGAAAATTCTGAATACATTACACTTTTCTGAATTATAGTTCTCCTGCTGTACATTAGCTGTCTATTCTTTTTCAACCTATATGTCTGGTAGTTTCTACCCTTTGACCTACAGTTCCCTATTTATTCTGTTTCTCTACACCCATGGTAACAAATGACTCTCTTTCTTTCTTCTTGTTTTGAAACAGGATCTCACTATGTATTCCAGGCTGGCCTCCAGCTTGAGCTGATTGTACTTCCTCAGTCTCTCAAGTACTGGAACAACAGGCATCTACCACCATGCCCAGTGGTAACCATTCTTATAGTCTTTCAATATTTCATTTAAAAATACTATATATACTTAAATTAGATCATGCAATATATTTCTCTGTGGCTTATTTCTAGGTCCACCCATGTTGTGTGAAATATCCAGTAAGATTCCAATGGACTTCTTCACATGAAATAGAAAACATAATCTTAAAATTTATACAGAACCACAAAATCACTGACTAGCCAAAGACAATCTGAGGGGAAAAAACCCCTCAAAAAACAAAAACACAAAAACAATGTTTTAAGCATTTAAGCATCATACTTCCTGATTTAAAACTGTACTAGGAAGCTACAGTAATCAAAACAGTATGGCACTGGCATGAAAACAGAAGAACAATAAAACAGAAAAGTCAGCTTGGAACTAAATCCAAACATGTACAGTCATCTAGTTTTTGATGAGGGCACCAAGATGACACATGGGAAAAAGACCATTTCTTAAATAAACAGTGTTGGGAAAACTAGATTTCCAGATGAAAAATGGGGAACTTAGATCTTTATCTTACACTGTACACAAAAATTAAGTCAAGATAGATAGAAGATCTAAATGTAAGAGCTAGAATATAAGGGCAAAACTCTGAATGAATTAAAAAAGTGATTTACTTATGAAAAACAAAACTAAACCACATATTGGTTCCAAAGGTCTCAGTCTTTCATGGTCATCCTTTCTCAATGTCATGTAAGAACATATGTTGTAAGCACACTGTTTTCCCAGAGTTGCTGTGAGTGATTAATTCACATGTCCGTGCATTTGTTTGTTGTATCAGATATGTTTTCTTGGTGCTGAGGATGCAGTGGTGAGCAGGATATATAAACGTTTTGCTCCTGAAGCATATTTGCAAGTGCAAAACAACACAAATCAAGAAGTAAACCAAAGAACACGGTAACTTCGGAGCCAGAATTTCCATAAAGAAGATCTACAAGATGTGAAGCCTGGAGGCCAGGGTAGGGGTGATGCCAGTTGGGAGTGGGGGTGGTGGTGGAGTGGAGCAGTCTTCCGCCTAGCCTGGTATGACCAGCAGGAAGGAGCAGCAGGCGGCCAGGCAGATCTCTGCAGGCTGGGCTGTGGGCCATGGAAGCCCGGTGAGTGAGGGGAACGCAGCAGAGGATTGCAGAGGGGCAGCTGCCAAGCCTTTAAGTCTTGCAGGCTGTGATGAAGGGTTTGGACTTCACTGCAAGTGCACTAGGAGAGCTGTTTTAAACCGAGAAGAAGTACGCTTCCTGTGTTTTGAGAGTATTCTGCTAGGGTGTGGAAAGTTTTAGGGGCGGATTTAACCCTACCTGATAGCACTTGCTAAGTCCTCCTGCCTTTACAGCAGTCTCTGGGGCCCATCCTTCTATGCACTTCAGAGAACAAAAATTCTTTTACTGGTAATTCATATATAACTCACATATAACACATATCAAAGATACAGTACTGATAATACGCTGGAAGATTTGAAAGAGAGCCTAGTAAAATATTTCAAAGTGGTGAATATAAAATGGAGTTAACAGGAGACATTTTTGTGACAGCTTTGCTCCTGGCCTCTCATGCCTAGAAAGCCTGTTTCCTGAGGTGGTCAGGTATTGGGACGGGAACACCTCACCACAGCATAACAGTCCTGCACACAGAGGAGACAGGCTTATTCTCCAGGCTTTTCCCTTGAGTCTTTACCCCCATCATTTGAAAACATTTTAAATGTTTTTGGTCTTGTTATGTAGACTAGACTGGCCTTGAGCTCACTAGGCTCTGGCTCAGTCCCTGAAGATCCCAGACCTTTGCACCCACACCCACCTGAGTCCCTCGTTTCTGTGAGTGGACCTTTTCTCAGCTGGTCTTCTGTGGAGACTGAGCCATTTTTGACTGTGTGCTCCCCCTTGTTTGCTGCTTTATGATTGAATGATAACAGATCTTGACAATTGTACCTCAGCAAAGTTTTTCTAGTGTTTCTTCCTTTCCATGTCTTCTGCTATTTAGATTTAATGATGTATCATTTAGCACTCCTAACTCATTTCACTGTTTGCCATCTTTTCCCTATTTTGTACTCTTGCTAAAAAATGAAATATTCTAAAGTATTATTTGTGTCCTATACCTCTTCCCCTGCTTATTATTAGCTAATGGTTTTCTGTAATATATCAAATTATACAGAAATATCTTAATTTGGTTTAAGTGCCTGTTCTCTGGCTCCAGCCTTCTTTCCAGGATTATGATGACTGTGCTTTTCTGTAAGTATTCCTTGTCCTCCTACTCTTACTAACCTGACACTTCTTACACCTTTTCAAAATCTGTCTCTCTCTCTCTCTCTCTCTCTCGTCTCTGTCTTTGTCTCTCTCTCTGTCTGTCTGTCTCTCTCTGTTTTGTACCAGGAATCAAACTCAGGATCTTGCACTTGCCACAAAGGTGCTGTGCTGCTGAGCTACATCCCTGGTCCTTAAACTTTTCCAAATTCTTATGACTTCTCCCTCTTAAAATATCTGTATTTACTCAACATATTGTCTTTCTGTATTATCTTTCTATCTTGTCTTCTGTGCTTTAATATTAGAAAGCAATGCCCTAATCTCTAACTTCTAAAGCCAATTCTTGGGGGCTGGACATCTGTGACCCTAGTGATTATGAAATTCATAGAGATGATGTTTCTATGTACATCTTTTAAAAGCTAGAGTCAGACTTCACTTACCTTCAATACTACCTTATCCTTATGTAGAATTGTATTATTGGCCTTTACCATCAAGAAATAAATTTTTTCTTTTGTTCCCTTTCTGTCTCATCTCTCTGCTTATTACTAAAATACGAAAAATTTAAAACAGAAATTAATTTCTTTAAAATTGGGACATAATGACAGATGTTTGCTGTTATAAGTGATAGCCCTAAATGGAATTCACTATAATATTGCTGCTTAATAAATATTATTAAAATGTAACACATAGGAATTTCCTATTGGCTTTTTTTTTATTTTTTGGAGACTTGCTATGCAGCCCGGGCTGGCCTTGAACTCATGGAGATCCTCCTGCACTGGCTTCCCAAGAGATGGGATTAGAGGCATGCACCTCCATGCCTGGCTTTGCTATTGGATTCTATACATGTTTTTTTTTGTACTGGCAATTAAGCTCAGGACCTGGGGCTTGCCCGGCAGACGCTGTGCTGCTGAACTATATCCCCAGCCCTCTGTACCATTTTGATGATGGTTTTCATTTTGCAATTAAAGATGTAAAGGAAAAAGACCATGGAAGATAAAATGTAAATTTACATAGTTCTGTGTTACTGGTATTCTGAATAAATGGATAAATTATGCATGAACTTTTATATTCACAGAATAGTTTTAAAAAATTACCTTGTAAGGCTTTAAAAACATAAACCTTGGGCCAGAGATTTAGCTCAAAGCAAAGTGCCTTTCCAGCAAGCACAAGGTCGTGAGTTTGAACACTGATACCAAAACAACAACAACTACAACAACATCAACAAAACAAAACGTAGGCCTTTTATTTGTGGTCACTAGAAGGAGAAAGGAGGCCAGTGGTAAAGTAGCAATTACAGATTACCCAAATCATTTAATGTTTTCAAATTGCACTAAGGCTTGTAGGCCAATTTGGGGAGAGCTACTATATTTGCAATATTATGTGACACAGGCTAAATGTTTGTGTTTTCCAACACCCACTATTAAATTATATGACGAGATGCAGTCTCCAGTGAGATGGTATTTGAACACAGGGACTTTGGAAGGTGCTTAGGTTGTGAGGGAGAAACTGCACCAGTATCCTGAGTGCTGTTACAAAGGAGGCCCTGAGAAAGTTTCCTGTCCCTTCTGTCCCCGGGAAGCTGCAGTGAAAGTGTGACCTCTGACCCAGAAAGCAGACCATAATTACACACTGCACCTGTGCACTTGATCTTTCATTTCCAGCTTCCATGATGGTAAGAAATAAATGATTGGTGTTTGCAACCCACCCTAGCAGTCTATGGTGTCCTGTCACAGCAGCCCAGATGACAAGACAGAGTCTTCGGATAACAAACGAGGTGCCATTTACTTAGGTTTTTCTAGAGCTGTTTATAATTAAACTCTTTTAGACAATTATAGATGCATATGCAATTGTAAGAAATAACAGAGTGATCTTGTGTATCTTTCATTTCTTCCCACAGTAGTAACATCTTGTACAACTGGAGTGCAGTGTGACAAGATCCTGACAGTGGTATCCCAGGCACAGGGCATTCCCTCCCCTGGAGCCCACTGCTGCCATTTATAGCTGCAGCCACCTTCCTTCCACCCCAGTCCTTCTTAACCGTTGGCACTAATTCATTCTCCATCCCTAGTCTGTCACTTCAAAAACACTATATAAATGGAATCATATAGTAGGCCATCTGTTGTTTTTCTCCATTTAGTTGAATTCTGTAGAGATTTACCTATGCTGTTCTGGGTACCAATGGTTTATCTCTTTTTATTGCTCAGTATTATTCCATGGTATGGACATACCGCTATTTGTTTAACCATTCTCCTGCTGGAGGACACTTGGCTTTTCTTTTTCCTAGTGTTTTGAACATTGTCATAATGTAAGCTGCTCTGAACATTAGGTGCAGATTATCGTATGAACATAAGCTTTCATGTCTCTGGAAAACCTGAGTATAACTGCTGGGTTTATTTGTTGGCTGCATGCTTAGTTTTTCAAGACACTGGCACATGGTTTCCAGAGTCACTGTCGCACCTTACATTCATGCTCTCCAGCAATATATGAGGGTCAAGTTTCCCCAGAGCTTTTCCAGTCACAAATTTGGAAATTGCACACACTGATTCTTCTCTTTTTATTCCTTTTTCCCCAAAAAACCTGTTTTAGGAATTTAATTCCTTTCCCTGTCTATGTAAATTAAGAATAATCTTGTCTGCATTTCTGTACTGTGAGGGTTAACATCACCCAAAGAGAGGTGTGGCTTTGTCCTCCGTGCCTCCTGGTCCTGAGTTCGGTCTGGTAACGATGTCTTTATTAACTGCAGCTCTGGTGTATACTGGGTCACACATGCCAACAGTGATTTCAGGTGGGAGTGTAGTGTCACTCTAGCCTCTGAAGGCCCTAGGAACTAAATCCTGCCACATAGATGGCCAACTTTGTCAATGTACCTGGGACTCTATAGACATTCTGGAGAGAAGGATCTTGGTGAGCTTTCCTGGTATGCAATACTCAATGTGTATTCCCACACTTCTTCTGAGAAGACTGCTGCTCATGACTCAACTGAAGACAACAAGTGGTCAGTCCGGCTTAGACATCCCTGGACCTGCAATGTGTGCTGTTTCTTGGCTCATTTTATTATGTGCCCTTTTTCTGTGATTAGTTGTGGCTGTGATACAACAGCTGCCGGTTCTGGAAGTCCTTGTGTGGAATTATCAAGACTGAAGGGGGTTGAGGGATCCAAATTTGTAGATGGCATCACAAGTGACAGCAGCTTTGGGAGTCTAGATCTTTACATCTGAAAAAAATCTTGTGAAGTAAGGTGTGGTAGTGCACACCTGGAATCCCAGTATTCTGGGAAACTGAGGCAAGTTCAAGTCCAGGTTCAATCTGGGTAACAGAGACTTAGTGAGAACCTATCTCAAATTAAAATAATAATGTTTTTAAAAGGGCCAAGGATGTAGTTCAGTGTAAAGGTTTTGTGTTTAATCCCCAGTACCACGTGCAGACACAGAGACAGATACACACACACAGACACAAACACACACACACACAGATACACACACACAGATACACACAGACAGATACACAGACACAAACACACAAAGACACACACACAGACAGATACACACAGACACAAATACACACACACACAGATACACAAACACACACAGACACACAGATACACAGACACACAGACAGATACACAGACACAAACACACAAACACACACACACAGACAGATACACACAGACACAAATACACACACACACAGATACACAAACACACACAGACACACAGATACACAGACACAGACACACAAACACACACACACAGACACACAGACAGATACACAGACACAGACACACAAACACACACACAGACACACAGACAGATACACACAGACAGACGGACAGACAGACAGACACACACACACCCCTTGCTAAATTGGATGAGGTTGAGGTGTGCACCTGAAGGTCCCAGCTACATGCCTGTAAACTGAGTCAGGAGGTTGTTTAAGCCCAGGAGTTCAGGGGAACTCAGTAAGACCTACATCTCTTATAGACAAAAGGAAGGAAGGGAGGGTGGGAAAAACGAAGGGAGGGAAGAAGGAAGGAGAAGGAAAAGGAAGAGGAGGGGAAGGGAGGGGAGAGGAAGGAGAGGAGGAGAGGAGGAGAGGAGAGAAGTAAAAATATCTGGCTGGAATTTGTATATCAATTTGGAGAGAACTGGCATTGTATATCAATTTGGAGAGAACTGGTACATTGAGTGGTCAAATCTATAAACATATTTCTGTAATTATTTTTACCATTACATATTTCTTGGTACTATAATAAGTGGATTTTACAGAATATTAGACTTTTAAGTAGTTGTTGGTATATAAAATGCATTTATTTTTGCATATTGCTTTTGTATCTAGCAAAGATTCTGAATTATCCTGTTTATGCTAACATTTTATATGTAGGTTTTTATTTTCTACATAAACAATCATACCACATGTGAGTCATTTCAGTTTTGTGTTTTCCTAATTCTTAGATGTTTTACTTCTTCCAGTTATAAATTTAAGAAAACTTTTAAACTCTAAAGAAATGGCCTCAGATTAACTCACATCATTAATAAGGGGATGAATAAAAGCCTGTAAAGAAATGGAAACAAAGTTTTGCAAAAAGGGTGGGAAGATGGGCTGAAGGGAGAAAATGAGGTTGGGGAAAAAGAGGAATCAAAATGTGTCATGTATGAGTACAAAGCTCCTGAGATGGACTATGACTGTTATGTATGTCTAAAACGTACCAATACACTTACCTAAAAAGCATGTAAAGAAAATTATAAGGAACAACACAAAACTGGCATTAAGTTACCGAATTTTCTGTCGTAACTGATTTCTTACTACTGCACCCAGGAGACCAGGCCCAGACAGGTGGCATCACGGAGCCCCTGACTAACAGCCATGAAGCTCACTTGGTCTGTGTCAGACTCTGACAGTGTGGAGGTCGGTTATGCTCATAGTGCGGTGTTGTTTTTCATCCTACCTAAGGTAGTGTAGAATTTTTATTACATTCAGTCTTCAAATCTAGAGTTGCCCTCACTGTGTCTGGTAGTACTTTCATTTTATTTCAGTTTTCTCCCCCAAGGAATTTTTTTTCTTAATTTTTCCCCCTTCTCTTAAATCCCACAATGTAACTGCCTTCTACAGGCTAGCACAGTTCTTAAAGGTTCTGAACTCACTTACATGATACCACTAATACATATTCCTTTAAAATAAAAAATGATTGATTTTAAATTCATAAATGTATTTTATAATCATAGTAACTTCCTACATGTTTTTACTTTTTTTTTTTTTGTACCAAGAATCAAACTCATGACCTTGTGCTTGCCAGGTAGGCACTTATGACACTGAGCTAAATCCCTGACCCCCTTTTTGAGTAGTTTTGAGACAAGTTTCTATGTAGTTAAGGATGGTCTTGAACTCACTAGATAGCCCAGACGAGCCTTAAACTTGTGGTGATCCTCCTGCCTCAGCTTTCTAAGTGCTGGGCTTACGGCCATGCAGCAAACATGCCTGGCTCCTACTTTGATTAGTTTGAAAAATAGCACAAGGACATA